CGCCTCTAGAGGGCCTCGCTCCTGGCCTGCATTTTATGTTGTTTATGTCTAATTTTTATTACTGTTTTTCCACCCATTTTGTCCTTTGAAAGACTAAAATAGTCATTGCTGATAGACAGTATAAGACTCTGTGTATAAGAATGAGTAAAGCTGTTTGTTGTTAGGATGACAAAAAGTTTTAAATGTTAAAACTTTTAGGCTGGTCTGTCTCAGTGGTCCAACAGTGCTCGTCAATGTCAAAATGATTGAGATGGCCGATCAAATCAAAGAAGGCGGGTCTTACTGCCACAACGCAACGAGAGTTCGTGGAAAGATGTAAGTAGTACTGTATTAGAAAACAAAATAGAAATGTTCAGCGACCGACAGTAATAGACTATCTAGTGATGCAAGCTACTCAACTTTTTATGAAATTTCGCCCTTTTGAATTGAAAATATGCAATCATGATTCATGTAAATCATAAATGAACGTGACAAGAGACATTTGCGTTTTCGACTATTAGACATACGAATATGAGTGAATGCACATTTTAAAAAAATATTATTTTCAAATAGTGTAAATTGATTACTACTTCATATGAAGAGTTCAGATGCAAAAGCCTCTAAGTGCCGTTTGAAATTTTCTTCTAAAATGAGCATTTTTATCAGGCTCCTATGTGTAGGTTCAGTAATTTCTAATTAATGGCAATGAATAGTTTCTTTTCTTTCCCATTAAAGTAAAATAACTGAACATTTTAGAAGAAAATTTTAGATGGCACTTAGAGGCTTTTGCATCTGACCTCTTCATATATAACTGCAAACCTAGAACTTATTTTAGCATTCTTATTTACTTATTTAATTGCTTTATTATTATTATTAACATTATTATGCAGTAGATCTTACAATTCTTATGAGCGTGTTCGTGACCGTGATTCGTACGCATGTCAGTGAGCACGGCATCACAATCGATCAGATGCGTGTTAAAGTTGCGTTCGTTACTATCAGCATATTAGAATGGTTTCTGAAGGATCATGCGACTGAAGGCTGAAAATCCAGCTTTGCCATCTCAGGAATAAAATTACATTTTAAAATATATTAAACTAGAAAACTTAATTTGTAATGTGCAACAGTATTATTGTTTGTACTTTATTTTTGATCAAATAAATGTCTTTCAAAACATTAAGAAATATACCGACCCCAAACCTTTGAACAATGTATTTCAAGCTCAACAGTCAATGATTACTATGAAATATTCAATGAGAATATTCTATTACTATATTACATTTTATATTATATTATATTATATTATATTATTATTAATTTGAGAAAATGTTATGAGTAAATGATAACAGAATTTTCATTTTTGGGTGAACTATAAATACCAAGCAGACCCAATTTTTTCAGTGATGTCTTCATTCAGCTCAGTTCAGTTTAAATAGTATCTTTGCAATAATTTGCAATCAAGTCAACAATATCGCTGGAAATGAAGTGTCCCCAACTAAGCAAGCCAGAGGCGACAGCGGCAAGGAACCAAAACTCCATCGGTGACAGAATGGAGAAAAAACCTTGTATAAAACATATATAATAATAAAACTTGCAAGCAGATTAAAAGAGAGCTTCCTTACCTGTAGCTTTTCAATGTAAATCTCAATTTGCTGGATCTGATTTTTCACCGCCTTTAAGTTTCTCGACTTCTCGTTTTTCTTCATGTAGTTGAATTTCAAATTGTTGAATTTCTTTTTGAGATCTTTAAAGGACTCTCTCATCTTAAAAAAAAATCAGGAAAAACATGTTAATATAGCAACAGAAAATCATGCAAAGAACCACCAAAAGACAGCTATGGTTAAAGAAGAAAATAATTCACACATAAAGGAATTTGAAAGTATCTTCAGGAACCTTTTTTCCACACAAAAACAGTTCAAAGTTGTCATGTGATCATGCTCAAAAAAAGGGGGAAAGTGTCTCAAAAGTAGTACAAATGTATTACAAAAGTAATACATGTTAATGTTTGCTACAATGGCTTTGTATAAGGAATGTGTTATTCAGAAGGCTAATGTGAAAAGATTTAAGAGCTTCATCAGAGGGGAAGACTGTCAGTGTATTTCAATACTTTTTTTTTTAAGTATACACATAATACACATAATTGTTTTGCCCAAAAAATGTCTCATAATATACAAAACAGGTGAAACATGAAAGTGAGTACATAATTTTAATGATACGGTTAACTAACCCTTTAAACCCTCTCTAACAACACAATGCCAGCTTCTTTAACATGCTGATTAGGAAAAGTGTTACCAACTATAATAGTGTAATCAAATATAAGATTAGGTGTGGATAGGTATGGGGAGGGTCTCTGAGTGAGGTTCGGCTGAGTCCAGGGGGATTATTTTGGAGGGATTAATTGACAAGAGCAGTGGATGATTTATAATGCAGATCCATTTCTGTCCAGCCTGATGAGCTTTTGCAATGGTGTCGTGTCTCCAAATGACGGGCTCAATTGTCAAGGACAGCTGCAGCGTCTAGAGCCAGTTAAAGAGGCCTTACAACTGTCTTACTGGATTTTTCCAACTGAGGGCTATAGAGGAAGTTTCTGCTGCAGCCCAAACAGAGGGATGTGCGTGGAGGAAAGTTCAGACTTTCAAACGGCGTAATGGTGACTGTTAACATCTAAACAACTTGCTTAAATTATGCTCAGTTAACATTTGTGGTGGCAGCTATTTCTCAGGGCCTTATGATCTGATCTGTAAAACAAGGAATGAGATGTTGCTGAAGACCAAACTGGCGAATCTAGTGAGATCATCACTGTGTTTTATTCATTTATATGAAAAATCCAGGTCTAGAAATCTCACTTTTATAATTATTGAAATAAAATAATTGTTGATGGGGGGAATTGAAATAAATATATTGACTCTTAGCTATTTTAGCTTACATTAATGCTTGTTTTGTCTTTATTTTAAATGCGGTCATCTTGAGGCACACTTAAACATTTGCTGAGCCCCCCCTAGTGGCCCCCGACCCCACCC